TAATATATATATATATATATATATATATATATTATATATATATATATATTATATATATATATATATATATATATATATATATATAATAACATATATATATATATATATATATATATATATATTATATAATATATTATCTATATATATATATATCACTTTTACACCTAAACAAATAATTTTCTCTAAGTATTAATAATACCATATTTGTAGATAGACAACGAAAATAAGCGATATATAAATTTAAGTCACATACACATATTTCTAGGGGTATATATATATCTATTTTATATATATATATATATATATATATAATATATATATATATATATATATTATATATATATAAATATATATATATTATTATATATATATATATTTATATATAATATATATATATATATATATATATATATATATATAATATATATATATAATATATATATTATATATTATTATATATATATATATTATATATATATATTATATATATATATATATTATATATATATATATGCGGACCTCAGTACGTCGATATGATTGATGATACGTATCTCTCTAACTCCATCAATCGTTTTCGTTTTCCAGTAGTGATGGATGAGAGAGAGAGAGAGAGGGAGGGGTACACACACACACACTGTCAGAAGACACACTGAGGACCTTCCTCACCACCATGACATGCACACACACACGTACGCACACATATATTAAAAAAAAAAACGTACTTGGGCCAGAATTTTCCTAGTTGGATTCTAGTCATACCTATCTCCTACACACTGCTTTCTCACACTCCTAGACAGACCCCATTTCCCATCCCCCGCTTTTTTCTTATTATTATTAGTAGTAGTGGTGGTCGGCCGTCTCCCACCGAGAAGGGTGATCCAGAAAAAAGAAACACTTTCATCATCATTCAACACTTTCGCTATCGTTCACACAATATCACTGTCTTTGCAGAGGCGCCCAGATTTGACAGTTTAGACATCACTCCAAATAGCCAATATCCCAAATCTCTCCTTTAAAGTGCAGACACTGTAATTCCTACCTCCAGGACTCAAATCCGGCTAACCGGTTTCCCTGAATCCCTTCACAAAATATTACCTTGCTCACACTCCAACAGCTAATTATCTCTCAGTCCACAGCAGCATTCGAACCTACACAATCTGCATCAAAAGTACGTAGTATTTAAGCCACTCAGCAGAATTGTAAAGGAGGATTTTGTGTGAGGGGCTTGGACTTCCAGCAAGCATGCGTGAGCGTGTTTGATAGAAGTGAATGGAGACAAATAGTTTTTAGGACTTAACGTGCTGTAGTGTGAGCAAGGTAACATTTATGAAGGGATTCAGGGAAACAGGTAGGGCGGACTTGAGTCCTGGAGATGGGAAGTACAGTGTCTGCACTCTGAAGGAGGGGTGTTAATGTTGCAGTTTTATAACTGTAGTCTAAAGCACGCCTCTGGCAAGACAGTGATGGAGTGAATGATGATGAAAGTTTTTCTTTTTCGCGCCACCCTGCTTTGGTGGGAGACGGCCGATGTGTTAATAATAAAAAAAATAAAAAATGTATATATACGTATTTACTTTTAATTTTTAAAGGCTATAAAATCCAGAATCCTATACGAGGTTCATGTTTATGTAGTGAACTGATGTCGTCATCAAGAACATCAATAACACATTAAGAATATCAAATAAGCTAACATACTTTAAAAGTCAAAATATAATAAAAAAGTATGTTTACTTTGTAAATAATGTAGACAATTCGACAGCTTCTTACTGCATTTAGCTTGTAATAAAGCTATGTAGGTTGAGGTTATATTTTGTAAAAGCTATTTCAGGAGTTAAAGCACCTATTGTATGTACTTTTGGTATTCCCTCCCCCCCTAAAAAAATGCCATTAAGCTGCATATAAAATGCGTTCGACAAAAATACAATTGTATCACAGAATTGTTTACAAATCCCAAAGTTGAATTTGTGCTCGAATGATAATTATTTAGTATATATTCGACATTTTAAATATATTGTAATTTTAGTCGGTTTAGAGTAAAAAAAAAATTAAATCATATCCATATCACGGTTTGACCATTAAATAAAAATTTATCATAGGCAACATTTGTCACTTTCATTACTCTTAAAAAAAAAGGTCTATATATTTAAATATTAACTAGGCTAAAGCAGCGTCTAGCCTAACCCAGATGTCTTAAAAAACTGCTAATTAATGATGTTTTTTCTCTAAAGAATCTTAACTTATTGATTTCTAAATATATTATTATATATAACATCTAAAGGGCAAAGAATACCTAAGAGACAAAATGTTTGTAAGACGAATGTTTAGTACTCTATCACATGATAGATTACTAGCACATGATAGATTCCTGGTAGTAGTAGTGATGGTAGTAACAGTAACATTACTACGAGTGTCCTAATTATATATCTGTATTGTTTATCAAGTTTATGTAAACTTATCTCCCCCTTTCCTCACCCTTTATTTCCCCCTTCTATTTTCACCCTCTATCCACTCCCATCCCTCACCCTCTATTTTCCCTTTCCTCACCTTATATTCCCCCCCCAATGTTCTCCCCTTCCTCACCCCTCTATTCTCCCCCCCTCCCTCACCCTGTATTCTTTCCCCAGTCACCCTTTATTTTCCCCTCCCTTAAATCTCCCCTACCCCCTTTCCATTACCCCAATTCCATCTTCATCTTCCTACTGACTTCTCCCAACTCAGGATGACGAAACATTTCATGGCTTAATGCAAGTAACTCATCCTGTGGCAGAATACACAGATTAGCTCTCACCTTGATAGGATCTACCTACCTCCTGGTAGGTAGGTAGGTAGGTAGGTAGGTAGGTAGGTAGGTAGGTAGGTAGGTAGGTAGGTAGGAAGGCAGGTAGGTAGGTAGGTAGGCAGGCAGGCAGGCAGGCAGGCAGGCAGGCAGGCAGGCAGGCAGGCAGGCAGGCAGGCAGGTAGGTAGGCAGGCAGGTAGGCAGGCAGGTAGGTAGGTAGGCAGGCAGGTAGGTAGGCAGGCAGGCAGGTAGGTAGGCATGTAGGTAGGCAGGTAGGCAGGCAGGCATGTAGGTAGGCAGGCAGGCAGGCAGGTAGGTAGGCAGGTAGGTAGGCAGGTAGGTAGGTAGACCCTCATCATGTAGCTCTCATTCATAATATAGAAGAAACTGCGGCATCATTCCAGCATATTAACGATAAGAACCTGCTCTCTCTCTCCCAACGAGGAAAAAGGAAGGTTTTCCCAACGTGACGTTAAGGTCAAAAATAGACGCCATGAACACTTTAGCGAGGTTTTTGTAATTGTTCATATATTGTGGTAGATAAAGATCGCCATTATATTGGACAAGTAAATTAAATGGTATTAAGGAGAAAAAATCTTAGTCTCCTTGACATTTGTGTCTTCCTTTTCCTATCATCCTTTACGCTTTATGTCAGTTCAGTTTTCACGCACACACACACACACACACACACACACACACACACACACACACACACACACACACACACACACACACACACATACACACACACACACACACACAGGACAGGAGGGTCAGGGGAGACATGATAACGACATACAAAATACTGCGTGGAATAGATAAGGTGGTCAGAGACAGGATGTTCCAGAGATGGGACACAAACAAGGGGTCACAAATGAAAGTTGAAGACTCATATGAGTCAGGAAGTATTTCTTCAGCCACAGAGTTGTTAGGAAGTGGAATAGTCTAGCAAGTGATGTAGTGGAGGCAGGAACCATACATGGCTTTAAGACGAGGTATGATAATGCTCATGGAGCAGGGAGAGGGAGGACCCAGTAGTGGTCAGTGAAGAGGCGGGGCCAGGAGCTGAGTCTCGACCCCTGCAACCACAATTAGACGAGTAAACACACACACACAATGACTTGGTCGTACATTAAAAGCCAAGTATTATTATTATTATTATCATCTTCAGGATATGCTAAAGTCGTAGGAGTGATAGAGCGACTTGGAATGTGAGGTAATCAGGTCTGATCCGAGGAAGCAGAGACTAGCTCCTTTGATTGGAGCTGCTATAAGAGTAAGTCGTGAGTCACGTTGCATCATGATACCTCCTCAACTCTGACTCTTGAAGCTATATTCCTACTTCGTTCCAGCTCACCGAGGCTGAGAACTTTGTATAATGGTAACCCAAACACAGTAACAGTGTTGTTGCTGATTAAAAAGAATGGTAAAAATGAGTCAGGATGTGCTTTAAATGTAAATAATTGGTCAATGGGTCAAGGTTGGTACAAAGGCAGGCCGCTACTGTGCCGAGTCTGCTCATAAACATTACTTTCATATTCTCTCAGTAACAAAATTCCGAAACCGAATTGGTCCATTATTTAAATGTTTATGGCTGAGGGCACTAGCATGTATCTGGGTTTTACCTGATTGTTGTGGGTGGCATCCTGGGGGGAGACGATGAAAAGAACCGACTAGGAAATAAGCCATTGTGGCTTTATTAGGCTACCCTGGGTTCCTAGCCCTCCAGTGTTATCCTGGGTTACTTACCCTCCTGGGTTATCCTGGGTTACTATCCCAGGATAATCGCAATAAAATCTAGGAAGATTCCATCTGAGTTATTGACTGGTGGTCAGGAACAAAAATAAATGAGCTTAAAAATTACCTCTTACAATTAGGACAGACAAGGTTTTAATGAAGGAAGTGAGTAAGAATGGCTCACTCACGTTCCACTTTCATTCAACAATTTCACATTTTGTACGTAATGGTTCGTTCTGAAGTCTTGTGATGGTCAGGCTGGACAAATAGAAAATGGATTATGGTTGTTACTTAGAGCAGCGGAAAGGCAAAGGCTTACCTGGTAACAGGAAGAAATAGCTTATGATGGAGGAGGTAGTGGTGGAAGTGAAGGTGTTGGAGGAGGAGGATGAGGTGTGTTGGAGCACGACTTATTCCAACACACCCATGTCTCTATATGGCTCCCACCAACACTTTCTCTTTCACCCATCTGCTGAAGCTACTCACCCAGCTGTCCGGGAGCCCTACGCTCTACCATGCTCTTGCAGACGTGACCTGGCTTCAAGGGGTCACCTCCGTGCCCACTCATCGCTAAGAAACGACCACAAGGAAACCGTAGGGACATCTTTTTTTGGTATAATTGTCCGTAACGTGTGAGCTTCCTGGCGGACATGGCAACTGATTTGCAAAATTTTCTTTGTCATAGAAAATGGCTTTAATGAGATATGAGCTACAGAAAACTGTCATTGTGGAAGGGGAGACTCATGAAATATATACAGCACCACAATAATGATTCATTTTATTTACAGATAATATTGTATATAAATATGAGCAGAAGAAAAACATTAATAATGCGTTGCCATAGATTCCAATCCTTTCCGTTTCCCGAGTCTTATTTCGTATTATTACCTTTTTTTGAGTTCTTAAATATCTCACATTGTTTGTACTGAGTCATCATAATACTCATCACTACGTGACAAAAACCAAGTACTTAAAACCTACTCAAAGTAGTCAGGCCACTTCCCTCTCCCTGTCTGTCCACAATCTTACATTAAATACACTTAATATCAATAAAGTTTAATTTTGATTTATACGAAGTTTTGTGCAATTATAAAAACATAAAGGAGTTGGGACCATTTTTTTTCTATCTTGTTTCTCTTTCTGTAATGACCACAATCCATTTAGTTACTCTATTTTGCCCCTTCTTTGTCTTGCTCATTCTATGACCAGTTAAAAGTAATTGTGTAATGGAAATCGAAATCCTCAATACTTATGAAATCGATTAAATATTAAACAGGAAAATAGTTATAAGGTGAATAGAATCCTGCAAATATAAAGCTTAAAAGGGAGTGCTAAAAGTACCTATTCTAGGACCAACCCTGTTTGTGATATACATCAATGACGTACACGAAGCCTTGTTTATCATATACATCAATGACGTACACGAAGCCTTGTTTATCATATACATCAATGACGTACACGAAGCCTTGTTTATCATATACATTAATGACGTACACGAAGCCTTGTTTACCATATACATCAATGACTTACATGGAGCTTGCCATATACACCAATAACATAAAGGAAGTAATATTAACTCCATCAAATATGGGGACAGTGATGTACCGAGATAGAGCTAAACAGTGAAAATGACATTTTTTTTCAATCTATACAGCGGTGCCTCGTTCAGAGTTAGCGTCTTCGGTTCACAACTGAAGGATCCGGACTCGATCCTTGAGCGGGTATTGACGTTAAACATGTGCCCTGACACCTCTTACTCCAATGTAAAAAAAAATAAGCACACGAAACTAACACCAATTATTAAAATAAATTAGTACATAAGTTTTATTTCGGGTTCGCTACACTGGTTTAGATTTTAACAATTGTGTTATATAACAACATTTGTGTACAGTGCATAAGATTGGTCAATAAACTCAAAGTAACTTTTTTCCCATGTTATAAAGTGGGAGCCACAGTCGAAGTTTCTTTAAACTTAGACAACAGAGCAAAATAATGTAATCGAGATGAACAAATCCTTCCTACACCCTCAACTTTACAACTGTGTTGAAGCTCTGAGCAGCTTACGTTATTATAAGATCATATCCCAGTTATTTTTTTTTAAATAAGCACAGTCCATCCAGTTTTCTTAATTTTAACCTCTATGCCTAGTGTCGAATTCCACCCTAAGATAAGCAAAAACGTAGTCTAACACACTCAGCAATGGCTGACCAACGTGTCAGACATATTATATAGGAAACAACCTGCAGTTTCGTCTAATTTCTACTTTATAAAAAAGCTTAGTGCAAGCGCCCCTTATAGGCTGGAGCCCCGGGTAAGAGCCTGACCTCAGCTCCATGATCATGTCTCTGGCTTCACCCCAGTATTTCTCATTGCCCAGCCTTGAACTTATTCCAGTGAGATAATAATGTGCTGTTGAAAACATTGAATAACAGCCTAAATATATAAAAAAAAACGAAAAGTTAGGAAAATATTCGCAAACAAAACAAATTGAGTGAAAATGGTAAAACGAGTTCAGATGAACAATTTTTTTTTATGGTTTGACATGACAGAGTTATGAAGCAATATAAGAGTTAGGGTCAAATTTCAGTGTTTTATGGAAATATCGCGTAACAAGTGTTGATAATGTTTAAGATAAAAACTGGAAATCTGTGTAGCCAGGATGGCGTAAATGCGTCTGAGGTTCTGATAAAGGATTTACAGCACTTCAGAAATATTCTTTCAGCAAAATTAAAAAAAAACAACGTTGCAATTACTTAACGGGTTGCATCGTTTAAACGTTCACTCTGAATTTCCAGATGTATACATTGCACCGAGAATATTTTGCACTCCAGATAGAAGTTACAGATGCAGCTCTTTTTTCTCTCTTCATTTATTCATTCATGGCACGCTACTACTCTGGAAGAATAAAAAAAAATTACTAAGATCAATCATGTGTCAGTTCACTTAACACTTTAAGTGTTAGGACAATAATATGGAAGCTCGTATATCAAGAATATTTAATTTTAGTGGCATTGTTGATGTATTTACTAACAGTCTAACTCGAAGAATGTTTTTGAATAGTGACTAAAGTGAAATTCTATTAACCTTAAGCAGTTTATTACCTTGTTGTTGTCAAATCACTTTGAGATTGTTATATAATGCGAGTCTAAAGTCTTCTGATGTGTTTATTTTATGTTCAAGTCGCTATTATATGTACTATTAGCAATATTTTATATATATTTTGCTTTTTTAAGTCTCTGAGCTGTGTTTAGCAACATAAATTCGAAAAAAATGTCTTGTTTCATTAAAAACTTAATTGGAATGACATTTTTTATTAATATATATACACTGCACCTTATAAATGTGATACACTTTTTCATAGTATTTTCGGTAGAGGGGCTCCAACACAAGTGTTTACTTACTCTTAGCTACACTATGCAAGAAAATTGGGAGGTTAGCATCTGGAGCTCTCCCATATGTCCACTGAATACTTTAACGTTCCATTAGAGGATACCGCAAATGCTAAGGTCGAGTAAAAGTTATGTGGATGAATCATCAATGAAGTCAGCCTCCAGTTGTAGAGGGTATGAGGTCACTGAAGACTTACGACGTGTGGATTACAAGGCAGGATTAGTAAGATGTGAGGAAGCGGTAAAGGAGTTTGATCATTAAGCCTCATCGTGCTGGGTGTGGAAAGTGACCCTAAAGTCAGCTGCTTTGTTGCTTATGTAATCGCATAACACATCCAAAGCTTCACTGGGCAGAAACGCATTCTTTTAGACAAGATTAGTGGGTCGTTCACCTCACGTATAAGTAATGGAACCCAACATGAAGATCTCTAATGATTAATGAGACCGAGAAGTATCAGGTAGAGAATCTAAAATAGCAATAGTTTTCTTGATTAATGAGAGAGAGGAAAGCTGTCTTGTATCTATGGACGACTTACAAATCATAAATACACAAAACAACAATAAAGTGAGGTTCACCATTCCTCCGCCCACCGTTTAGTCCAACAAGGTGGGTGAGGTTGACACATTTAATAAAACAAACGCCCCATGAAGGTATGTGCGAGTGACCAACAGAGTACGAGTGGCAGACACTTACCTAATACACCACCCAGCCAGACAGTGGAGAATGACGCAAATCCAGCCGACTGATTCATCGAAACCAACATTGAACCTCCAGTCTGACCTCTATCCAGTCACCTAAGAAGCATGTTTCCCATCCGAGGGTAGCGGCTCTTCCAGCACACTCATCTTCCAGGCAAACGTAAGAAGAGTATGTGTCACCGTGCACAAGAAGTGCACATACCATCGTGCACAAGAAGTGCACGTGTCACCGTGCACAAGAAGTGCACGTATCACCGAGCACGGCCAACGTACAGGTTAGTGCTTAATTTAGCCTCTCATGTCATGGCCACTCCCAGGGAACCGAAGCCCACCCAGCACAACCACAGTAACACAGACTGTAATTCTTCCCAATCACGTACCGTACGTAAAGAACTACCATCAAGAGAGAGAGAGAGAATTATTTTTATAATAATAAAGAAGCGCTAAATCCACTAGGGTCATACAACACTGAAAGAAAAAATGGGGTATAGAATAGTAAGAAACAGGTTGGGGTTGAGGGCAGGGGAGGTGAGAGGTGTGCCAGCAATTAAACGTACCATGCAAGCATTTCCGAGTGTGAAGGAATGTTGGTTAGTGTTCCAGGAGGCAGAAGAGAGCATCCGCCATCTCCTGGGGTTCCCCATTCACAAATTTTATATGGCTCCTCCCATCACCGTCTACAAGTCATTTACCCGTACAACCCAGTCGACCACCGTCTTCAGGGATGCTCTGAACCAGTATGGATCACAGAGCACCTTGGAGGATTTAAGGCATATCTTCAACTTTCTTGGCTTCGGTGACTTTGACTAACTTTCTCCCAGTTATTACCAATTTGAAAATTTATTATTATTATTAGGGGCTCCGTGGACACAATAAGAGAACAAGAAAGATTTGTATCACCATCATTCCCAGATATTAGAAACACTGCTGGAACATGAGTAAAAGTCTTCGAGGAGAAAATTCGACACGAACCTCCACCCGATGCCAGATCAACTAGGCTGTGATTGTAATAGTTGGTAGAATTACCGACAATATGTAAAGTAAAAGGACACAAGTGCAACTAATGTGACATTTTGTTGTGGCAACGTTTCGCTCTCCAGTAATGGCTTGATAAAGCTCCTGGAGAGCGAAACGTTGCCATAATAAAATGTCACATTAGGCTGTGATGCCGAAAAAAAAAAAAAAAAAAAACACTCATCATCACTCACTCCATCACTGTCTTACCATAGGCGCGCAACATATAGAAATTGGAGCACGTATCAACAGTTAAGCTTCTACCCTTCAAACTGAACTTTTTTTTATATTTGCACTCAAATGCGTCCGTGTATCTACGGATGATACCTTAGCTGTTACTGATTCTCTAACATCCATAAATGCTGATAACTCCATGAGTGCCAGTTGCGGCGTGCTTGTGTCAGAAGCCAGACACAGGTATGGTAGGATTGAAGACAGTAAAGTTAGACTACACCTGTGGATTCCATCTCAGTCTTCAGATGAATGATAGAACTGATGGATTCGCAAAGGCGTATGCTTTCAAAGAGGGAGTAGAGT